CCTACGAGAGTTGCCCGTCCGTGGGTGCTTCAGGGTGGGGTGCTGGAGCAGGGCTGGGGGGTGATGGCGGGTGATGGGGGCTGCGCACTCTGAGTGTGTGGCAGAGCTAATGCAGGGGATGGGGCTGCCTGGGTGCTCTGGGGGTGCTCTCAGATATAACTGGGGCCAGAGCAAGGCTGGGCACGGAGCTGCTCTGGGAAGAGGTGCTGGATTTCTCGTTGCTGGATTTTGGAGGGGAGGAGGGTGACTTGGGAGCCTCAAGGGGAAGTCTCTGGCCTTGCCCCACATCCTGACCATTTCCCTTGCAACACTGAGCCTGAAAAACACATTGCACAAGGCTCGGTCCCTGCCTGGCACAACCTGGTTGCAGCCCCGGCTGGTTCTCATGGCGCAGGATGCTGGGATCCCTCCAGGCACACCCACCTGCCGGGTCCCCCAGGACCCACCACTGGGCTTCAGCCGCCTCTTGCTGCTGCCTGGCCGCTGTGTTTAGCCGGGACACCCCTGCGGTGTGGGGAGAAGGGATGATGGGGGCAGCTGGCCCCAGACTGGTGGCATGGGGTCCCCAGCTGTGCCCCGCGTACCCCCTACCTGATGATGACGCACTGGTTCTCCCCGTCGATCAGCATGTTGCGGTACATGTTGTCGGTCAGGGCGTAGATATGGGGGGGATTTTCATACTGAGCCTAAACGGGGGACAAGGACCAGAGCGCTGAGCACAGAGCAGCCATCAGCCCCCTGCACTGAGCCCCCTCCCCAAACCCCCTTAAGTCTGCCCATGTGTTGCACAAGGCAGTAGCACATAGCAGGGATGAGGAATTAATCTCTTGCCACAAACGTGAGCTAATCAGCAGTATGTCAGATGTTTTTTTGGCTCTCCCCTCCTCCTTGGGAAGTTCATTGTGGCAGAGCTGGTTGCTTGGGCTGGATTTTACCATGTTTGGGTTGCTTTGGTGTGTATTTATGAGCTGAATTTCCCAGGAATGTGGATCTGCTCCTGAGTCTTGTTACTGACTCTCCATCAATGTGTCTGGGAGCACTGAACCCTGCAGCACCCAAAGGGCTAGGGAGGGTGGGGACACTCATGGGACACTCCCCAGGTGTTTTGCACCAAATTAAAGCCAATGAACCCCTGGCCAACCCTGCCGGCCGGCACGCAGCAGCCTCACCGCTCCCTGGTACAGCTCGATCTCCCGGTCGGTGAAGTATGGCATCTGCTTGAAGGGGTTGACAGAGATGAGCACCGGCCCGATGTAGGTCTGAGCGGCAGGTTAAGGTCTGTGTGTCCTTTCCCATGTGCCCCCTTCCTTGCCCCACTCGCTGTGTTGGGAGGCAGCGTCAGTGCAAGCAATGGCAGGAAGGTGGTTGGGGGGGATCCCTGCCTCCTCCTGGAAGCTGCACCAGGAATACCATGAGGGTTTCTAGCTCACATGCAGACAGAGCTGCTACCACGACTTCGTGCTCTCCTGGCCAGAGGGTCTCAGTGCTTCGCTCCTTCAGCCCCAGGGCATCCCTCCAGAGTCACGGGCACAGGGTACAGCAGGAGCATCCCCTCAGCTCCCCAGCCTCTGGCTGAGGATTGGCTCCAAAAGCAGCATTTCCAGCATCCCGCAGCCTCCCGACATTCGCCTTCTGCTCAGCTGCTCATGCTCTATCTGCAGCTTTTGCAGCAGGAGGCCATCTCCATTTTACAGCCAGGGAAACTGAGGCACAGAGAGGGGAGAAAGCGCCAGCTCCTGCCTTTCCCCAGCCAACCAGACACTCCACCTCCCTCGGCCCCTGCCTGCAGCATTCCCGAGTCACCCAGGTGTGGGCACAGGAATGGAAAAGCAGGGAACTGCGCCTGGAAATGATGCAGCAGCAGGATGGGGATGAGCCCCTGGAACCCCAGGGCAGGTGCTGGGGAAGTGGAGGTCAGGGACAGAGCGGTGCCAGCAGGGTTACCCCGAGCCCTTGATGTCCTATTTTCAGCCCACCTGACAGCAGGGGTGACAGAAGAACAGCCGACGGGCAAGAAGAGAGGGACTTTTCTGGGAAATGCAGAAGCATTGAGTCACGGCTAGACAGGGGCCCTGCACACAGCAGCACAAAAAAAGGAAGAAAGAGGCTTTGTGGGGCATTTTTTTCCTCCGGAAAAAAAAAAAAAAAAAAAGCCAAACCCAACCCCTAAACACATTTAAAGCCCCAGGGCTGCCAAAAAAGTGGGGAGGATGGCTGCGTCACCGCTGGTCTGGGACAGAGCATCGCCTTGTAAGGACAGAGCAGCATCTTTAGGGAAACCACAGCCACTCACGGTAGTGTAAGCAGGCAGCTCAGCACCGTGCTCAGGTGCAAGGACCAAAGTGGGTCCTGGGGCAAGACAGGATGGGATCATGGTTACAGTGTCTCTGCCGAGTCCAACTCAGCTTGGGAATGGCAGCATTCCCCCAGCCAATTCTAATCTTGTCCCACCACAGTGTGGGGATGGGACACTCTGCAAGCTTTGGGGCAGCCCCAGTTTGGCCCACACCCTGGAAAACCTTGGAGCGTAGCCCTGCCTCTTCCTGGCCCTGTCCCGCTGCCCTGGGAAGGATACAAAGATGTAATCATCCATAAAACGCTTCTTGAGGTTCTCCACGATGGCCTCCTCAGATATCTTGGAGAGCAGGACCATGTCGTCCACGCCACTCTGCTTGACATTGTGGCTCTGCCAGTGGAAGCGCTCCTTGCTGCCCTGCGGGGAGAGGGCCACAGCAACTGCACCAGGGCCACCACCGGCGGGAGAGGGGCTCCGGGCCTGGGTCTGGCCCTAGCTCCCCCTGACCTGCTGGTAGCTATAACTGGCCCCCACCCCAGCTGTGGCTCCAAAATAGGCACCTTCGGGTGGTGCAAAAAGGGGTGTTTTGGCCACGCTGGGAACTTGCAAAGCTCAAAATCCCAGAGCTGCTACACCTGGGCTTGCCCCATTCCTGTGGCTGGATCCTGCCTCACCGCAGGTCTGGTACCCCAGAGAGAAGCAGATGGGGCACTGACAGCCTGTGGGCATGTTTGTAACATCACCCCTGCTCCTTCCGGAGGTAACTACGAACTAAGGAAGCAACTGCTGCACTGGCTCTGTTTGAGTCAAAGAGACAGCAAAAATAACCCAGGGGAAGGGCAAAAATTGCAGCTGGTGGGGGCATCCCCGGCGCTGCACATCCTCTGCGCCCCCGCGTCTCCTTTGCACCAGGGCAGAGGTGCAACCTGTGCACCCATCACCCTCTCCTCCCTGCCCAGGGAGATGCCAGCACCTGCTTTCCAGCTGCCACCCAACTCGCCCGGCTCTGTCCTCTGGGGGCTGTAGGACAGCAGGAAAACTGTGGGATGTGATTTAAGCCCTTGAAGGGCTAAACACAGCCCTGGGCTGGGAGGGGAGGGTAGGATTCAACTGTGCAAAAAGAAAACTACTCAAAGGCCCCTTGTCCTCGATGCTGCAGAGGAAACCTGCTGAATGCAGCCACGGTGCCCGTGCGGCCCCTGGTGTGGTGCCCGGGAGGGGACACCCCATCTGGACCTGCCCACAGCTCCTCTGTGCCTGTCCCACAGCCCCTGCAGTTCTGCTTTCACTCCAGAGCTCCTGGCACCGATTTCACTTCTCCCCCGCGTCATCCCCAGCCTCTTACTCTTTCCATTTCCCTTTTCTTCTCTTCCCCTTTTGCTTCATTTTCCTCTTGGCTCTCAAGATTTCAGGCCTCCAGACCCCAACACCTTTGCACCCTCCTGTCTGCCCCTGATTTTTGCAGGCTGCCCGCAGACCCTGCACCCACCCTTGGATGCTCGTCACAACCTGGCACCATCGCGATGGGGGACAGAGGGACCGTCATGGAGTGTGGAGGAGCTCAGCAGCATCATGCTGCTCCCCCTGGCTGCTTCCATCCCTGCTGGGCTTTGCAACCCAAAATACCATCCATGCCCCCTCAATCCCCAAGTGCAACTCAAGCCCCATAGCTGGTTGGAGGGGCTTCGCTGTCCCTTCCCTTGGGATGCACGGACCTGGGTCAGCTCAGGAGGTCCAGAGGGGATCGGGGTGGCTCACACAGCCTGAAACCATGTGGGAGCTTCTCCTCTTCCTCCTGTTTGTTGCTTATGGGCCTTTTTCTTGCCTTCCCCTCCTTTCCTCCCCTCCATCCTAATAAGCCCCTAGAAAAGCCACCCAGAAAAAATGCAGGCGGGCTCAGCCATCCACCCCAGGTCACCATGCTGTCACCCAGGGAGCTGTCAGTGACCCCAGGAGCTGTTCAGCTTCAACCCAACCTGGCCAAAACCTTGTGCTTCAGGTGGAGAGGAGTGGGTAGGGACCCGTGGGGAGCCCGACACCTTGGTTCCCCCTCCCCTGCCTCCATTGCCCTGAGCCCTCAGGCGCAGGCACCCTGGGCTCACATGGCTGGTTATGGCACCAAATTAAGGCAAATACAAGCGTTTCCTGTATTGCAAGCTCGGCACTTTTGAGCTGACACCTGGAGTTTCTTCTTTAGTCAAATGACTGCTCAAAGCTGTCAGCGGCAAGAACATGCCTTCATGACACCTCCTCTTCCTCCAGGCTCAGGTTAGGTGCTTTCCTAGCTAAGCTGAGGCACCTGATGCAGCACAGCTGCAGGGAAAACACCGGCTCGCTTTAAATGAAGGTTTGGTCCTGGGTATCTGTAGGGCCATGGTTGTTTCTGCCCTGTTTCTGGGAGCACAAACTCTGCCTGGCTTTCCTCAGCACATCCCAGGGTGTTCACAGGGCCAGGACTCACTAAGCTGGGTAAAAACCTTGTGGGGAGGATGAAGAGGAGTGATGCTCCTTGAAACCACAGCATTGCCTGAGCTTAGCACCCAGCAAGCCCTTGCGGGATGGGGGCTGCAGGCAGCATCCTTGCAGGGAGCAGGGGCACAAACTGAATTTGCTTTCAGGGGTTTGGGGCGGCAGTTCCTCAGTCCCATCCCAGTCCCATCCTCTGTGCCAGTCCAAAGCAAGGGATGAGCCAGAGAGCAGCATCTTGACAGCTGCTGCCACGGGGTTCCCAGGGAAGGGGACTGATGGGCGGTCTGGACCAAATGCCTCTGTGAGGCCATTTCATCCTCAAACCGAGCAGGAAGCAGCTTTCAGCAGCCCTTGGCCTAGGCTTCTAGGCACAGTTTGCAGCCACTTTACACAAGTGACTTTGCTCTGCCGGTG